CAGTACTTGCCAACAGTGCGTAACAGAGATCTGACCGATCGCCCAAGCGGCTAGCACGATCAGTGGTGAAGAGGATAAAAGGAAAAAAAAAAGGTATCTTAAACAAGTCAACAATGTGTATTTGCTCGAAACAAGGCGAACAAAGTATTTGGGTTCCTACAAAGGAGTGTGAGTTACAAGGCCAGCGAGGTTATCCTAAAACTATATCTTGCTCTTGTGAGACCTCACTTGGATTACAAGGTTCAGTTCTGGTCACCGTACTACAGAATGCATATAGAATCTCTAGAAAGCATTCAGAGGAGAATGACAAGACTAATACCGGGCATTAGGAACCTTGAATACAGAGACATTAAAACAATTTGCACTCCCTCGAGAGACATATAGTGAGGGGCGATATGATCGAGCCGTATAAATTTAAGTCAGGGTTAAACGAAGGTGATATAACGAAGGTACTCAAACTATTTAACCAGGAGCAAACTCGTAGCAATGGTTTTAAATTAGACAAATTTAGATTTAGGCGCGAGATAGGTAAACATGGTTTGGAAATAGAGTAGTGGATAAGTGGAACAAGTTACCGAACTTAATCATTAACTCGAACACACTGGATAGCTTCAAACATACGTTGGATGGATATACAGTATGAGCGATAGGGGTTGGGTTTAAACAGGACTGCACAGTAAGGGTCAATAGGCCCGCTGCAGTTTCCTACATTCTTATGCTCTTGGGTAAACATTTAAACAGATGTAGAGGTAGTTCACTGTCTAACTGTCCTAACACATGCGGTATCATCTACAGGTCAAGTATTGTGACGCAGCAGTAGTGATGGCTTGGCTGCTGTTGCTACTACCGTCACTTCTGCTGTTCTGCCACACCTCCTCTACCATGGGGCTGGGTGTGACGGACCCAGTGTATGCAGGACAACCTCAGTAACCCTGTATTCAAGTTCTCCTCGGGGGGATATGACCCGGTGGACCTGAAGCTAGACACGTGTGCTCTCTACTGCACCATGCTCGGGTTCTCCTTCCTTGGGGTGGAGGAAGGTGCTGCCTGCTTCTGCGCCTCCTCCCTCGAGAGTAAGTATTGGGCAGGTTTATGTGTTCGGAGGTTTGGGTCTTATGACGATTATTAGCACCTGTGGTTTATGTCCCTGGGTGATTTAAACACCCTAACGCTTATTAAACCTAACCTACCCTAACGTAATCTAACCTATCCTAATGGCAACGTAACAGAACCTAATCTAACCTATCCTAATGGCACTTAACCTAACGCTAACCTAATTTAACCTAACGCTAATCTAACTTAACAATCTATCTTAACCCATCATAACATAACATAACGCAACACTAACCTAACGTAGCAAAATCTAACCTAACACAACACAACACAAAACAACACAACACAACGCAACACTGACCTAATAGTTATCACCAATGTACAGTATATTTACAAAAATGCCTGGAAAAAACTTGTTTCGTTACTGCGGTAGGTCTAGGAGCAGCCAGGTTTTTATTATTATTATTATTATTATTATTATTATTATTATTATTATTATTATCATTATTATTTCATTTGTTGCTACTAAACGAATCCCGGGAACTTTATATTTGCAATCGGTAGTTTTGACAATTCTAAGACACTTTCTTCAATATTTGAACACTTTTAACCTTGATTTTTAAAGCAAATCTCTAGATTCTGGGATGGGAGGGGGGAGGGCTCAGAAACTATTGATCTGCGCCAAAAATGAAGGTCAAATCGGTTCATAACACATAGCGGCAAGAAGTGAAAATTTACCTTATTATTATTATCATTAATATTAATATTATTGGTGAAATTTCAATCATATACCGGTCTTTCTCTCGCTGTTATTAATATGTTTTTCGTAATGTTTAGACAATTCTAAGACCTTTTTCTTTTATGATATTTCAACGGGAAATTAAGGATAACCGAGATATTAATTTTTCCATATTATTTTATTTGGTCAGTCACAAGTGTTGCCATTTGCTGTTTTCACAGAGAAGGTCTGACCACCCATCACGCAGTGCTCCTTACCTCCGTGTTGGCTTCTTAAGCGCTCTACAGCACAAGTGCGGAGGCCCCCCCCTCCTCCCCCTTCGCGATAGTAGACTTATAATTGGGCAAGAGCTTTTTGTCTTCAGCATCAATGAACATTGCGTGGGTGCGTCGGGAGCGGAGATTTGATATTTCAGTACCAGAATAACCAGATATGGCTGAACAGGTGGTAAAGAGCTGTGCCGACATTGTGATAGAGAAAATTTTACGTCAATTGCAGAGTTTCATCAGAAAAATAGTGTTAGGTTAGGTTAGGTTTTTTTTTGTTGGTGTGTTGTTTTTTTATTTATGTGATTTACTAAAAAAATAATTTTCGTTAAGATTGATGGATGGGGTGGGGAGGGGGGGGGGTAGGATTTAAAGAAGAAACTATTGATTTTCGACTGAAATGAAAATAAAATTCGTTCGAAACTCATCTAATAACATCGGAAAAACATATTTTAATATCCAAACAAAGACCGGTGAATTAGTGACATTTACCTTATTATTATTATTAACCCAAACCAAAAGGTAATGAGGCTTATTGGTGTGTCCTCTGAATCATTGAAATATATATATAACAGTTTAAGCTACAGTAGTTACCCTTGACATAAAGAATGAAAGAAAATGAAGATAATTATATGGGGGTAACAAGTATATTTCTTAAGACTAGAATTTTGTAGTAATAACAAATTCTCTTATTTAATGAAAGTATAAATGGCGATTTCTTATGACTAGTTTATCACGTTAGATGATTATTTTGTGTAATTCCTTTAATATTTTGCTATTAATTGCAAATTGTTTTAAATTAGACGAAGGCAGTGACTCATCTGACTTAGAAATTACTTTTACAGCTCAAATTCAACCAGTTTCCTACAATCCACGTCTGACTCTCTCTCTTACTGCCACAGATATGATCAGTGTCCCATCCACCATGTGTGATCGTACATGTGGCAAAGAGGTGGCCTGTGGTGCTGCCGGGGTGCTGAGCGTGTGGGCCCTGGGAGAGAGAGGGCCTCGTAATCATCCCCACATCAAGCTGTACTTTGTTGACAAAACTGAATCAGAGGTGAGAGAAGGAGGGAGGGGGTGGGAGGTGAAGGAAGGTGAGGAAAGGAGGGAGGGAAATGAGGGTAGGAGGGATGGAGGTGAGGGATGGGGTAGAAAGGAAGGAGGGAGGTGAAGGAAAGAGGGAGGGAGTTGGTTCACAAGACTTCACATGATCAGGCTGAGGCGAAACATCACAATCGTTAACCACAACACATTAGTTGGAAGACAGGCACCTGAAACTGAATCGAAGGTTTAATTAGTCACAAAGGAAGACTCTTATAGTGGAAATTATGAAAGAAAACGTAGAATTAAAGTGAAAGTGGACATCAAGGGCTGTGTGTGAATGTAGTATACCAGACACCCTCCGTACTTGACCATCTTCACTGCCCTCAAACTGTCGAGTCAGGGGCACCATTCACAACTGGGTCGACTTAGGGTGCCTGGGTCACTATCTGTCATTGCTTGTATAACTGTGGTGTGGTCACGTGATGAATGGTATAGGAAATAATATAGTGTTTTGTATTATTAGTTCATGGTTCTTCCTGGGGTGTACATGTGGTGTTGAATAAGACTGTACCTCTACCCCAGCTATCTCACAGTCCTCCTGGTGTTGACAGGTGGAGGTGAAGATAAAGCAGGAGGTGGAGGTAAACATCAAGGTACCTGCTGGATTTCGGGGACGGGTCGGGTAGCGTCCTTTACCCCGCTTCCACCGTCAGCGCCTCCTACAGCTACACCTTAGAGGGCCACTATTACATCACTGGTCAGTTCTTTATATAATACATGAATACACTTGAACTGGTTTGACCTAACGTAAGTACACCTGACTTGGCTTCACCTTACAGCGTATGAGTCAGTGTTTTGAGTCTTAGGTGACGTCACTTAATCTCACTTTCTTCGTCTGTAATTCTGTCAGACTTTTAAATTTAAGCAAATAAGACTAACCTAACTTAGCCTAAATTAACCTAACCTACCACTCACCTAACCTAAATTAACCTAATCTAACTTACCATTCACCTAACCTAAATTAACCTAACCTAATCCACCACTAACCTAACCTAAAATTTATTACATTACATCCTCAATAACCATCTTAACCACCCTACAGTAACAGAGCCGTTAACAGGAGCCCTTTCAGCATTAGTGGTGCGTGTGGTTCATTCCCATACCGCGGTAAGCCTCTCCTGCCCTGCCTTCATGATCACTGGGACGTCCTTCTCCTGCCCCTTCGTCACCCTCTACGGTTCCTCCCCCATCCTCCGCCTCCACACAAACGAGACTAATAAAGAACACCTGTTTACTCTGCCAGGTGAGTTGATTTTCCTTTTATGTTAGTCATGTTGTAGTTGTTGTTGTGGTTGTAGTTGTAATTGAGGAAGAGGAATCCTTTTATATATATAGAGAGTATGTGTGTGTGTATGTGTGAGTATGTGTGTGTGTATGTGTGTGTGTGTGTGTGTATGTGTGTGTGTGTGTGTATGTGTGTGTGTGTCATAAACATTACCCTAACCTCATCCCTTCATCTCACCAGACCTACAGACCAAGATATACGGACACACGTGGTCAAACTCTTCTTCCCAGCCACCCATGATGTCGCCCGGGAGCACCTGTAACAAGACCCAGGTGTTGGACACTACACCTGTCGGGGAGGACGAGTACCTCACCCTCATACAACTCTGAGGCTCCGCTGGCACCTTCTACCTGAACGTGGGTCTTGTCTTGTCTTGTCTTGCCTAGTGTTTTGTGTTCTTGTATCTCAGTCTTAACGGGTTTTTTTTATCTCTATTTTAATTTTGTTTTTATCTTGGTCTCAATTTTTTCTACCTCAATCTTAACTTTTCTCTATTTTAGTCTTAACTTTTTTGCACCCCAGTCTTAACCTTTTTTGCACTTCAGTCTTTATGTTTTCTACCTCAGTCTTATTTTTTTACCTAAGTCATAACTCTTTTCCACCTCACTATTTAACTCTTTTCCACCTCAGTCTTAACTTGTATTTCAGGCTGTGTCGGAGACTTGTGATGGGGAGGGGGAGCCTACGTGTCCTGAGGGCGGTGCTCGTACCCGCACCTCGTCAGAACACCTGTGTGGTGACACTTGTGTCTCCTCAACCAGCTCCCAGTGTCCAGGTGAGAGTTCTTACCTGCCCCGGGAGATGCAGGTGAGTGCTCCTAGTACCTGGCCCGGGAGGTGAGGACTACTGTGAGGAAGCTTTCAACACTAATGGCACTTGCCCAAACGCGTCAAAGAAACTCACTCAAACCTACAATGACTCTCGTCTAGATCCAAATATGTACAAAGTTAATATATCTTGATACCTGATTACCCAAACATCATCTTCACCAACTACAAAAACCAACAGTGGGATTTAAACCTTTGAGTTCTGATGGGTTAAATCACCGTCGTCAAAGAATTAATTTCCTCACGTCCTCGACAGATGCAAGGAACGCGAGCCTGAAGGGAGACGGGACCTTGTACACGGCCGACTCTCTCGTGTACTACCAGAACACTGACAATAGCATCCCCAGCAGGAGATTGGTATTACTTAAGAGCCTTACACAGTACTCCAGGTTCGCCGTAGGCTGCCTCGACAGTGCTCAACTGGGCAATAACGTATTGGCTCAGGTACAACCCCTCTCCCCACCTTCCCTTCAGGATGATTTCTTGTGTGTGTGTGTGTGTGTGTGTGTGTGTGTGTGTGTGTGTGTGTGTGTGTGTGTGTGTGTAGTGCTTATAGGTGTAAACAGGAACTGCCTAACATTATTCAGTGATTGACCAAGTGCAAGTTGCTTTTATTGTTACGTTCTTAAAACCTTCCCAGATCGGTTACCGCCAAGCTGGTGACTATAACACACCTGGGGACGTCGAGTTTGTTCCTTCAGGTGCTGCCCCGGAGACGTACACCTGGGATACACGACTCAGCACCAACATCCTCATGCGAGTCACCACACTTGTTGGTAAGGTGAGTTATGAGGGAGTAGTATAGTGTTAGGTGGTGATGATAGTGGTGGATTGTCCTGTTAGTAGGATATTACACGAACATCACCACCATCACCACCACGACAAGGCATGCATCACCAACACCACCACTATAGGGCAGACAACCATAAACAACACCACCACCATAGGGCAGACAGCCATCACCAACACCACCACCATAGGACAGACAGCCATCAACAACACCACCACCATAGGACAGACAGCCATCACCAACACCACCACCATAGGACAGACAGCCATCACCAACACCACCACCATAGGACAGACAGCCATCACCAACAAAAGTCACACTCACCCCCATGTCTAACCTAACCTAACCTAACCTAACCTAACCTGAGTATAGGACTGCAGTAAAGTAGAGTCAGTAGAGTCAGACACTAAAAATCAGATGCACAAAATGTCGTTCCCTCAACCAGCCACAAGGTGACTCTGGAACACCTGATTTGGTTTGGTTAGGTTAGTTTAGGTTAGCTTAGGTTACACAGGGGGCTTCTTAGGTGTAGGGGTTCATTAGAACTGGGGTCCATTAAGACTGGGGAGCCCATAAAAACTACACTTCACCGAGACGTTTCAAGACACACCTGCGTCGTGGGAGGCAAACAAACTAACCAGGAATCAGTAAAGTTTAACTCAGCAGCCAGTGTTGTCCCCTTCTGTGGGCGTGGTAGTGACTTGTGTGAACACCGGCGAGGAGGAACACGAGACATTACGACATTCACTCTTGTTTAATAACCTGAGGGAGACGACCAGACGACCTCATCAAAATTCTTAGAGAAGTGAGTGAGGGAGTGAGACTGAAGGTACAAGATGGCGATGCTCTCTCTCTCTCTCTCTCTCTCTCTCTCACTACAGACACAAACTCACTCACATTGACTGGTCCTCAGGTAACAACACTGGGGCCCTCCTGGACGTGTAATAAGGCCAGTGCCGCCCCCAACACCAGCTTCACGGGACACAACGCCATGGAGTTGCTGAGTCAAGCTGCCTGGAAGATGGACTTTACCGTGAGTTTTTGTTTTATTTTTATTCCTATTTCTTAATCTCGTAACTTGTTTCTTTTATCCGGATTTTCTTTTTATTTGAATCTATCCATCCATCCATCCATCCATCCATCCATCCATCAGTAAACATTACCACGTGTTTTCCAGCTGATGGGCGGTAGTAGTGCTGGAGGACAGAGCGCCACCCTCACCTGTACTATCATCTGCCACACCGTCATCACTCTGCCACCAGTCCTGCCTCTTACCATTGGCAAACCCGACGACATCACGTTCATAGCTGTTCCTTTCTTAACGGTGGGTGTGTTGTGTTGTGTTGTGTTGTGTTGTGTTGGGAGGTGTGTTGTGTTGGGAGGTGTGTTGTGTGGTGTTGTGTTGGGAGGTGTGTTGTGTGGTGTTGTGTTGGGAGGTGTGTTGTGTGGTGTTGTGTTGGGAGGTGTGTTGTGTGGTGTTGTGTTGGGAGGTGTGTTGTGTTGTGGGGTTGTGTTAAGAGGTGTTGTGTTGTGTTGGGAGGTGTGTTGTTGTATTGGGAGGTGTGTTGTGTTGTGGTTGTGTTGTGTTGTGTGTGTTGTAGTGTTATGTTGATTGTGTATTGTGTGTTACGGTGTGATGTGTGTTGTAGTGTTGAGTGTGTTATGGTAAAGTATGTTAAGGTAAAGTGTGTTAAGGTAAAGTGTGTTTCGGTAAAGTGTGTTAAGGTGAAGTGTGTTATGGTAAAGTGTGTTATGGTAAAGTGTGTTATGGTAAAGTGTGTTAAGGTAAAGTGTGTTCAGGTAAAGTGTGTTAAGGTGAAGTGTGTTATGGTAAAGTATGTTAATGTAAAGTGTGTTATGGTAAAGTGTGTTAAAGTAAAGTGTGTTAAGGTAAAGTGTGTTAAGGTAAAGTGTGTTGTAGTGTTGAGTGTGTTATGGTAAAGTATGTTAAGGTAAAGTGTGTTAAAGTAAAGTGTGTTAAGGTAAAGTGTGTTAAGGTAAAGTGTGTTAAGGTAAAGTGTGTTAAGGTAAAGTGTGTTAAGGTAAAGTGTGTTTCGGTAAAGTGTGTTAAAGTAAAGTGTGTTAAGGTAAAGTGTGTTAAGGTAAAGTGTGTTAAAGTAAAGTGTGTTAAGGTAAAGTGTGTTAAGGTAAAGTGTGTTAAGGTAAAGTGTGTTTCGGTAAAGTGTGTTAAGGTAAAGTGTGTTGATATGTTAAGGTAAAGTGTTAAAGTAAAAGTGTGTTAAGGCAAGTGTGTTAAGGTAAAGTGTATAAGGTAAAGTGTGTTTCTGCAAAGTGTGTTAAGGTAAAGTGTGTTATGGTAAAGTATGTTAAGGTAAAGTGTGTTAAGGTAAAGTGTGTTATGGTAAAGTGTGTTAAGGTAAAGTGTGTTATGGTAAAGTGTGTTATGGTAAAGTGTGTTATGGTAAAGTGTGTTAAGGTAAAGTGTGTTATGGAAAGTGTGTTATGGTAAAGTGTGTTATGGTAAAGTGTGTTATGGTAAAGTGTGTTATGGTAAAGTGTGTTATGGTAAAGTGTGTTAAGGTAAAGTGTGTTATGGAAAGTGTGTTATGGTAAAGTGTGTTATGGTAAAGTGTGTTATGGTAAAGGTATATGTGGTAAAGTGTGTTAGGAAGTGTATACAGGGAAAGTGTGTTATGGTAAAGTGTTATGGTAAAGTGTGTTATGGTAAAGTGTGTTATGGTAAAGTGTATATGGTAAAGTGTGTTATGGTAAAGGTGTTATGGTAAAGTGTGTTATGTATGTGTGTTATGGTAAAGTGTGTTATGGTAAAGTGTGTTATAGTAAAAGTGTGTTATGGTAAAGTGTGTTATGGTAAAGTGTGTTATGGTAAAGTGTGTTATGGTAAAGTGTGTTAAGGTAAAGTGTGTTATGGAAAGTGTGTTATGGTAAAGTGTGTTATGGTAAAGTGTGTTATGGTAAAGTGTGTTAAAGTAAAGTGTGTTTCGGTAAAGTGTGTTAAAGTAAAGTGTGTTATGGTAAAGTGTGTTGGCATGAGTGAAGGCTCGTGAGGGTTTTGTCAAGAATCGTAAATCTATCACAGCGATATTCCCCCTCTCTCCCTCCCTTCTACCCTTCCCATTCTTGTTCATTACTTCCTTCCCTTCCTCCCTCCCTCTCTCCCTGTTTCCCTGTTTCCCTGTTTCCCTCCCTCCCTCCCTCCCTCCCTCTCTCCCTCTTTCCCTCTTTCCCTCCTCCCTCGTTGATCTTGTCCTAACAACAGTTCTTCACCACAGGAGCACCTATTGCCATCAACTTGACGATTGACGATGGGCGTCAACTTACCTGGGGTTATGTCAGGTGAGTGCTCTCTCTCTCACACACACACACACACACACACACACACACACACACACACACACACACACACACACACACACACACACACTCTTATCAATCATCTCATTACCACCTCAGACCACCTCAGAGTTAGGTACCCATGTGCCAAGTTAGTATTATGTGGGGATTTAAATGAAATTGACACCACTGATATCCAGGACCAGCTATCACTATCACAAGTTGTGACCTTCCCCACACACGGTCAAAACACCCTTGACCTTATCTTAACTGACTTAGCGGACCAGTACCAACCTCCTCAACCACTGCCTCCTATCGGGTGTAGCACACACTTATCAGTGCTCTGGTCCCCTGCTGCCACTCCCACTCAAGTACAGAGACCCTACATCAAGACCTACAGGCCGATTACTGACTCTGCAGTACGCCTCTTTGGACAGTGGATAGTTCACTATCCCTGGACTGAAGTACTCAGCGTGGATGACGTGGAAACCAAATGGATAAATTATACCAACACCACCACCGAAGCTCACCACCACTTCTTCCCCGAGAAGTCCGTCAGATCTCACCCAGCTGACTTGCCCTGGATCACACCTCGGATCAAAAGACTTATGCAACAGAGAGACAGAGCATTTCATCTCAATGACCACATCCGCTACAGGTCACTTCGCAACAGAGTCATCCGCGAAATACGCACTGCAAAGAAGTCCCACTACCCAACCAAATTACAACACCTGAAGCAGACCAACATCAGTCAATGGTATGGTAAGCTTAAAGAACTCTGTGGACTAAACAATATGACACACCCCCTCCCCTTCCTTAGCCACCTCACTAATGTTGACGCAGCTGAGCAAACAAATAACCATTTCGCTACTATATGCCAGACGCTCCCACGGCTTGACACAACCACTCTCCCTGCTTACCTACCAGCCCCCCTTCCCACTGACTTAGTAGAGGAATTTGACGTAGCAAAACGCCTGGACAAACTAAAATTAAAACGCTCTACCACCCCCTTTGACTTACCAATGAAACTATTCAAGGAGTTCTCCCCGGAGCTTGCTAAACCCCTCTGCTCCATCATCAATGCTTCTCTCAGTCAAGCCAGATGCCCAGCTGACTGGAAGACCTCTTATGTATCACCAGTGCCCAAGTCAACCAGCCCACAATCCTTAAATCAGCTACGACCTATTGCAATCACCCCAATACCCAGCCTAATCTGTGAAAGTTTTGTGTTTGACTGGGCTTATGCTGATATTGCAGGAGTCGTAGACCCTCAGCAATTTGGCAACATGAAAACTTCCTCCACCACTCACTGTCTTGTCAGCTTTCTCGATTACATATACCGCCATCTCGAGAAACGAAAAACGTCTGTAGCTGTCGCCTTCATTGATTTCACTAAAGCGTTCGACCTAGTCGACCACAATATAATCATAAACAAAGCTATTGACCTCGGGCTTCGGAGAAGTCTCATACCATGGCTTACAGACTTCCTCAGTGACCGACGCCAAGCTGTACGCTTCCGAGGGGCTGTCTCCACCTTTCAGTCACTCACCTGTGGCGTCCCCCAAGGCACCAAGATGGGACCACTCTGCTTCCTTATGCTCATCAATGATGCCCTAAGAGAAGCCCCTGCTCGCTGGAAATATGTCGACGACTCCACCATTGGGATCAGCGTCAACAATTCCGCTCCCAACTATACCGCCCTTCAGGATTTATTGAACAGTCTCCAAAACTGGGCCACCAACAACCATGTCACCATCAACCATACCAAGACAATGGTTATGCACATCAACCTCTCCTCCGACATTGTCCCACCTCCTTCCATTACCCTAGGTCCGAACACACTCCAGGTTGTAGATTCCAAAGCTCCTCGGCGTCACCATAGACAACAAACTAAATTGGAAACCACACGTCAGTGAAGTTGTCAAATCCTCCAGTTTCCGTCTCCACCTCCTCCGCCGACTCAAGTCCCTCGGAGTTCCTGCACACGAGCTCCTCAGTGTTTACACAACATTCATACTTCCCAAGCTCACCTATGCCTCCCCCACCTGGTCTTCCTCCCTAAATGCCACACAACGTAAACACCTAGAAAAAGTGCAAAAGAGGGCATGCAAGATTATTCTCTCCCCTTCCTACTCCACATATCAAGAAGCGCTCAACACACTGACCCTTTCGACTCTCACTGACCATCACCACGACCTCATCTGCAAATTTGGTAAGAAGCTTCTACACCATCCCCGACACCGGCCCCTACTACCACCTGAGATCCCCTGTCCGAGAATTGCTGTTCGACACCACAACCGCATCCAGCCCATACGTGCACGAACTGATCGCTATAAGAACAGCCCAGTCCCAACCATTGTAAAAATTATCAATAACATGTAATAAATCAGTGTATTCACTCCCAGTAAACACTGCTCCCTACACTGTCACTATGTTGAAATGAACTGTATTTTGAGCTGATCCCCATCTAAGTTACTATATGTCTTATTTGTGTCACTTATGTTACTTGTATATTATTTGTAATTCGTAACCCATTCCCCAAATATGTAACTGTATATTTTCAGCCTTCTGGCTGCCAAGCTCTTTCAATAAACCGTTAATTATTATTATTATTATTATTATTACACACACACACACACACATTATCCTTCCTCTTCACCCCTGACAATATATTCACCCATACGTTTATCTCCAACACGTTCTTTAGTGAGCCCTCAACCACTGCCTCCTCAGTGATTGATTTTCATGCCTCCTGCAGAAGTCCATGAGGGAGGGTACACCTTCTACCTGCCCCTACCTGTAGTAACTGTGACCTCCCATGCCCTTATAGAGATATCGGAAAGAGGGAACACCTGCGTGATCTACCTGTAGTAACTGTGACCTCCCATGCCTCTGCAGAGATACCTGAAGGGGGGGGGACATCGCCTGCGTGCCCTACAATGCCTCCAGGAGTGGTAGGTTCAGAGTGACCGGGTCTGCTGAGAACTTGATCAACGCCACCACCTTCACGACAGAGGTACTCATCGTGCCCATCATCAGGGAGGAGGACTGGACCGTCAGTAGCCCGCAGCCCTGGGTGAGTGTTGGGAGGGGGGGGGGTAGAGGAAGAGTTATATGGTTGTGCTGGATCACCTGAAGGTTAACCACCCTAGTTTTTTCAATTAGATATTAACCTAGCCTAACCTAACCTAACCTAATGTAACGTAACCTAACCTAACCTTATGTAACATTAACCGAACATACCTTAATGCTAACCTAACCTAACCTTCCAAGGTAACAGTAGAATGTTTAATTAATCACCAGGTGAAACATACTGGGGGCTAACTACTTTTAACTTAGG